GGAACTAGGCTGAAGAGACCGGGGAATCGGCAGATCGGGCAGTCTATGGATGCGATGTGCGGCTCGGCGTAGGAGCATTCCCGTTGAGAATGGGCTATATAAGATTGGGGGTTTGAAGGATCTGGAACATGCCCAGCTACAACACTCGGCGTTAGCATCATTCCTCTGCCTAGATCAAAACATTTCTCTCTTTACATCTCACTTTGCATCGTCTTTTCTATCCCAAATGGTGGCTTTCCCCACAGTCCAGAAGGCTAATCTGCTTGCCCGGTCCACCCTTCCCGGCGGGCTCGTGGCTGTCTTTGCAGGCGCCACGGCCGGAATCGGCGAGGCGGCCCTGAAAGCATTCACCAAGCACACGCTGCAGCCCAAAATCTACTTCATCGGCCGCTCACAAGATGCCGGCGATCGGATCCTGCGAGAGCTGAAAGTCTTGAACCCCGAGGGGACGTATCTTTTCGTCAAGGCCGATATGAGCTTGTTGAAGAATGTCGACGATGTATGCACAGATATCAAGAAGAAGGAGAATGCTATCAATGTGCTGTTCATGAGTCAGGGGACGTTGAGGTTTGGCGTTGGTAAGTCATCTTTCGAATGACTTGAAGGGATTGCAACTAATTTGTCTTCTTTTGTAGACACTGCCGAGGGCTTGCCGTTAATCACGGCGGTGTCTCTATACTCTCGTACACGCCTGACCATTAACCTTTTAGATCATCTACGAAAGGCTTCTTCAGTCCGCCGCGTCGTCACCGTCATGGCCGGTACCAAAGAAGGCCCCATTTTCGCAGACGATATTCCCGGGCGCAACGTCCCCCTCCGGGGTGCTCGCGGTCACCTCTGCACCACTCTGACGCTGTCCCTCGACGCTCTCTCTCGAAAGGCTCCGGAGGTGTCTTTTATCCACAATTTCCCTGGCGCAGTGGACACAAACCTCATACGGCGCGGAGACGGCATGATTCTGCTGGCTGTCAAATACTGGTCACGTTTATCCTTCGCGGTGACGAGGAGCTTCTTGCCTGCGGAGGAGTGTGGCGAGAGGCAAGCCTGGTTGTGTCTCAGTGGAAGATATCCATCTAAGGAAGCTGGAGACGGCGCTCGTGGGGTTGCGTCTGAGATGGTTGCAATAGGCGCAGATGGGAAGAGTGGAAGCGGCGTGTACAGTGTTGACTGGGATGGAGAGAGTGCGCCGGATAGTATCGTGCAGCTCCTTGACAAGTATCGGGCTGAAGGCATGGTAGACACAGTTTGGAACCACCTGGAGGATGAGTTCAAGCGAATTACGGGGTCAACATCCGACTAGGAGAAGCTATCATATTTGACGATTCGGACAAACTCGACGGAACTGATTTATAATGAAGACATCCGGATATTACAGGTTGCGCGCTCTGGTCTCAGTTCGTGCTTTGGCGAGATGGCGGGGGTGAGATGATTGGTAATGCTAACCGCCTCCACCCCTCTTGTGAAGCTAAGTATGAGTCAACTCCCGTGAGAATGGCGATGCCCATGAACTACTTAATACCTCACGCAGCCCATTTATTTTCGAATAGATGATGGTTTTGGGGCATCCATTGCCCAACACCACATAATCATGTCTGAACAGGAGGTTTCCGCTCCCCTGCCCCAAGGTCTCCTCGACCTCATCCCACAGACCGATGTCTGCTCGAAAGCATTGGCGATAGCCCGGGAAGTCCTCCCGGAGCCCATTTTCAACCACAGCGTGCGCGTCTTTCTCCTCTCCAAATACATCGCCGAGAAGGAGAGCAGCGAGTGGCTCGAGGAACTCCGCTTGCCACTTCTCTTCGTCGCTGCTGTGTGCCACGACCTGGGTACCAGCGACCTCTACAACGGCAAGCAGCGGTTCGAGGTCGAGGGCGCCGACGCGGCCAAGGCCCATCTCATCGCGCATGGCACGTCCGAGAGCGACAGCCACGACGTCTGGATCGCCATTGCCGTGCACACAAGCCCTGGCATCGCCGAGCGCATCACCTCGCTCTCGCGGCTGGTGCGGTACGGCGTCAAGAGCGACTTCTCGCCGGAATACCGCGACGGGCTAGGGCTGGGGCTGAATGAGTACGCGGCTCAGATTGAAGAGTTGCTGCCCCGGCTGGACGTCGAAAAGTCTTTGGGAGACGCGGTGGTGAAGCAGGCGGCCAAGATTCCTGGTCCTATCGATAGCATGACCTACCCGAACTCAGAGAAGCACCCCCGTGGGAGCTGGCCGGGTATTCTGCTCCGGGCGCACCTTGAGAACCCCGAATGGGATGGAGTGAACCCGGCATTTTAGTTCCGACACTTCTATGTTTGGGGTTGATGAGGAACTCAGCAGGAATCTCGAGCAAGGGCGCAGACTGAGGGTGGAGGTTGAGCAAATGGGATTTCACTTACATCACCAGTGGTACAGCTTGACAACTTCGCAAACGACTCGGGCTCGCGGGTGTGGGCGCAACCAGGCTCATTTGGGACAGCTAACCATATGCTCAACGAGTGCTACATAATGCTGTGCCTCCAGCAGGTACCATACGAGTTTTGCGACGCCGTTTCGAGCATACCAACCTTCGATGACTAGTTGTTTAATAAGTGAGAAATAAAGCCACCAATTTTGAAACCACAGAAACTGCCGTTATTGTTTGGTAGAGCTAGTAGAAAGACATTCTTTGAGACAATGGGCTTGAGTTCCAAGATTGTGCTCAACCACAACTGTCAGGTAGTAAAACAAGGCGACGAGCCCACTACAACACCTCTCGGGACGAATCAATCTTTGGCTACCGAGAGAACGACGTCGATTCGAAAAGTCTACCAGGACAGCCAGAAACCTTGGGTAGGATCATCAGCGAGACGCAAGTAGTTGTTGCTTACGACCGCGGCTTCGCAGTTTGAACAAGCCAGGTATCCACTCGCGCTAACACTCAAAGCCACGTCTCAAAGACCAAGAGACGAAGGATGTGAATCCCGACAAAACACCCCAGTATTGGCGAAATTAGAGTGCCACTGAGACGGATAGAGACGCGTCTTTGATCCGATCACGGTCGACATGTCCAACGGTGTTTCCCCCTCTTCCCAAGTTGGTATCTGCCACTTGTTTTTACCATTTGCCAACTCATTCCATCATGGACCCCGCAAAGACAGCTTCAAGCCAGGACCCGCACGCCCAGCAGTTCGTGTTGGCTGACGGTCGCACCCTATCGTACGCAACGTATGGTGCATCGTCACCGTCTTCTTATGCGTTCTATTTTCACAGCTATCCCGCATCGCGGCTGGAGGGAGCCACGCTTCACGATGCGGCTGTGGCCCATGGCATCCAGGTGATAGCGGTAGACCGCCCTGGTATGGGCGCCAGCACCTTTCAACCACGGCGCCGCATCCTCGACTGGCCGCTTGATGTCACCGCACTTGCTAACCATCTACACATCCCGCAATTCGCATGCATTGGCTGCTCAGGCGGCGGTCCGTATGTGCTTGCTTGCTATCACAAGATACCGCGCACCCGCCTCAAGGCAGCCATGATAGTGGCGGGCATCTGGCCTAATGTGCTCGGAACCCAGGGCATGCTTTTCGAGTTGCGCGTGATGCTGGCCCTCGCCCCGTGGGTGCCAGGGCTCGTAGCAGCTGGGCTTGACTACAGTATCGGGAGAGCCGCGAGAGACACCGAGCACCCGGAGGTATTCGCGGCGACAATGGGCAAAATGATGGAGTCCCGACCCGAGGTCGACGCCGCCATATGGAGGGAGGATGTGGGCGGCTTCAGGGAGGCTCTGCTCGCCAACTTGCGCGAAGCCCTGAAGCCCGGCACGGCCGGGGCGGCACACGAAGTGAAGCTCTTTGGAAGCGACTGGGGATTTGCTCTCGACGACGTCAAAGTTGAGGACAACACACTCACCATTTGGCATGGAGGGCTGGACCAGAACGTGCCTCTTGCGATGGCTGAGAAGGCCAAGGCGTTGCTGCCGGGCTGCCAGTTCCAGCTTTTTCCGCAGGAAGGACACGCCAGTTTGATTGCAAGGAAGGCCATTGATTATCTGGCGCAGGTCAAAGTGATGATGGAGAGTTGATGAGAGACGGGTTTCCTTGCTCTCGAGATGTTGCTCACTTGTTGGGGCGACTTATGCCGTGTGTATTATTCACCAATCCAACTGAGGACAAGTCCATCCAGTAGGTACTGAAGACAGGGGCGTGGTGGGGTTTTCTTTGTCTGAGAGCCATGGGAGACAGGCGACACATTCGCGTTCTTTCGATCTGAGGCTATCCCAGGCTACATGGACAAGGTCAGGTCACCATGTCCGAAGGGCTACTCAATTTTTTCCAGTAATATAGTAGAGAGTTCGTTGGCGGTCCAACACTTAAAACCGGTTATTGCCCGGTTAGCTCAATCGGTAGAGCGTGAGACTCTTATTAGAGCACACATCATCTCAAGGTTGCGGGTTCGACCCCCGCATCGGGCTATTCCTATATAAGCAAGCATTCTGATACGAGAGCGTTTCTTTTTTGCATTTCTGTGCAATTTCTCTCTAAAACACAACGGTAGTTGCCGAGAGCTTGAGTCTTTCTCTTTCTGTCCCTTTTTTTTTTAATCGTCTGTTCTTTTGATCAGCGGGCACCGCTATGTGAATGAGTTTCCTGTAGTGTGTACAAGTTAGTAGCAACCCTAACCTGTGTGTGCCTTGTGGTAGCAAAATTGCTGTTAGCATGTTGCGAAGTGTTTTTGGCGAGGGCCAGAAAAATGCCTCAGGTAGGATCAGGTAGTTGGAGTTCTATAGTCCTGGATTCGACAGTGAGAACACAGCAAAAGTGGAATGTCACACTCTTATATCTACGCTTCCACCCGCATGCCCTCTGAAGTTAATCCACCATCCCAAGTCCTCTGTAATGTCGTGACTTACGCAATAGAATGATTGATATGGGTCCAGCGGGTCGACAAGCAACCTTGCTATGGTAGTTGATTGGCGGTAAATCGTCCCTCTGTCCTTATCAGTGGGCTCATCAACTCAATTGTCAATATGCATGCCCGCGTGGCCTAATGGCTAAGGCGCAAGACTTCTACTTGTGGCGAGTTCCAAGTGATCTTGAGATTGCCAGTTCGATCCTGGCCGTGGGCTAACTTTCTTTTTGCCGTGTCTTCACTATTCCCTTGAGCTTATTGATGTTCCTGGACATATTTTTGGTGCTTTAGGAACCATGCCGATTCATGAGAAGACTGTGCGGTGATGTCAAGTGTAATGAAAGTCGGAAATAGCTAAGTAAGAACGTATTTAGCATACCTGCGGTGTTTTCTCTTCAATGAATCGTTATTGCAGCTGCCTGTGGTTGAGTGATAACCTCTTTACATCGTCCGCAATTTTCAGACCTCTGTTTATGATTAAAGTGCCAAATTGCTGACATTGTCTCAACAGTCTAGGTCTTTTTGATCCTAGATGACCCATATAATTTGACTGTCTATTTATCTGTTTATTGACTTTGATAACTAGGGGGGGCTGGGGTTGTCCTCTCGCTAGCATTTGGCATCAACATCGCCAACGTATGTAGCCTGGACAACAACCACTGACTGATTTCTGAAGGAATACCAAAGTAAGTATCAAGAAACCTAGGTATCGAGATATGTCAAATTGCCATACAACTTTCCAATCTTGTCATCGTTTATTCAGTGTCGTCATGGTTGAGTAGTGTGAGCTATCACAGAAATGATGCACGTCTTCTGTCAAAACGTCACAAATGGGAACTTCACTTGAAACTGTACTACGTGAACATCAGAGGCGTGAGTGACCGTAACAACTGTTGGAGCATGACAAGTTTGACTATTGGTAACCTCACTCCCCTTCATGTGTATTAGTTCCCCCTTGACCAGTCGGCTTTGATGCCATGTCACTCCGAGCACGACGCGTAGAATAAAATCGCAAGGTCTGAAACCAGGTGATGAGGGTTGCAGCGGCCTAGGTGGAAATGCCTTGTTCTTTCGCCCGACTACGTCATTGCACGACAAGAGAGTCGGTTACAGGACGGTACTCAGACCCCTATTGGATAGGTCATATTCACCCGAAGCTACACATCACATAGATCTTGTGTTATGCTCGTATTTGAGAATCTGTCAAGGCCTAGATCATTGCAAAGTCCAGGTATCCTAGACTAATTTACGGTTCGACATTGTCCCATGACCTCGCAGAAGCATACGAGAGGCGTAGCAGTTTATCTGCAAGTTCAGCTCCCAAAGCCAAAAATCCCAAACCAAGCGCCTGCATACTGCATGATGTGCCGTGTGCCTTCGGCACTGACCGATTGATCTTGCTGCATAATGCAAAGGCTAGCCTTATTTCTTTGCTAACTCCGCTCCCCGACCTGCCACGTCAGCCTGCGTCTGTGCCGTGAACGGTGGAGAGTGAGTGAACAAACGATATAATGGTAAGATGTGAAGTATCGGTTTGAGCAATGGCCAATATATCATTTTGTGTAGAAATCAGAAGTCATCATATCATGATGGCAACAACGGAGATCAAGCCTTCTTTTGCGCCGCCACTGGATGGCCCCGAGACGACGATTTTAGATCCCGATGGGGACCTACATTTACTTGTGGGTCCCGAGAGGCATGTCGTGATTGTCTGTTCCAGATCTTTAAGACGTACCTCCGCTGTTTGGAAGACAATGCTTTTCGGCAATTTTGCTGAAGCGAAGTCGAAAGCTGGGGAGGAATGGGTGATTAGACTTCCCGACGACCGCTCCGAGCCAGCCCTGGCAGTTCTGGCCATCATCCACAACCGATTCGACCTTGTTCCGGCCATCCCGACCGCTATGGAGCTGTATCAAATCCTCGTGATCACAGAGAAATACGACATGACTGAGATAACACGACCTTGGGCACGTCAGTGGATCGATTACGTGCAGCAGACCACACGGCCGATTTTAGCTTGGATAGCATGGGAACTAGGAGAGTCGAATATCTTCAACCGTGCAGTAGACACGTTGGCCGTAACTTGCGGACTCAACGAAGAAGGGCAGTTGGTTACCGAGAAGGGTGCGCTTTTGGCCCAAGCCAAGTATGATGCATTGAGGCCCACGGACATATTAGGTATGTGATGTTGCTGCTTTGCTAATGGGCACATACTAACGACAATAGAGCACATTTTAACTATTCGATTAGATATCCTAGGGAAAATGCTCTCACCCCTCCGCAACTTGGTCAACAATCTCAAAAAGTCGAAGTCAAAGTGCTGCAAGACATGCGCCATGACCAACCTTGGGTCTCTGACCATCTCCGCCGCCGATTGCAACCTCGACCCGTTGCCAATGTCGGCATCAGATTACAGAGGAAGTGTTGTAGAGCTCGAGGAAAAATTCGACAAGCTCTCCATGGTTTCTTCTCATGATGGGCCCAACTCCGTCGACCCACTGCCTGCGGTGAGGAGCCTGGTCAAGCTTGCTGTGGAAAACAGGCACCACGCTACTCCTGCTTTCTACTTGGAGCACATGGAAAGTCAGAGAAAGAAGAGTGGGATTCTGGTCTAAGGTCAATGTACTGTAATGTGTTTTTTCGGTAGGCAAAGTCCTACAGGAATATGACATCTTTTTTCGCCAGTAACTCATCTGAGTAGCCCCGGTCTCTGTGGTGGGAGGACTCTTTGGAAGCGAACTAACTAGTTTCTAGACAAGGCTGCAGCTTCTCTACATGTCACCAGAAAATGAGCTGAGCACTGTGAATCGCCCAGCTCAGAGTTGGTTTGCTTGATGGGTGCTAGCTGAATTTCTGTTCTCTTCCAGCTGGTAACCGAGCACACATAGCGCGACTTGATCTCTTTGTTAGCAGGATTGAAGTTGTTGTTGATTCTAGGTGAGGTTGAATGTCTTTTATGGCAGAATGAAAAGTTAGCAGCATACATGGATGTTAAAGGCCATTCGTTTGCGACTGGTAAGGATAGGCATGCGATAGTTACTAGTTAGCCTCGGGCGACCGCATGGCTTGATTCATTGATTCAGTGGGAGCTTCGTAAGTGAACATAAAACGCCTGTGGAATGCACCCATGTTAAGCTAGGGTAAAGCTAGGGCTAAGCTTGTAGCAAACAGCCCTCAAAGAGTCCCCGGCATGATCAGTCATAAAGAACCCAGGCAAACAGCGTCAAGGATGGCGCATCTTCGTCAGTTGATGAGAAAAGCTTCATACGCTGGAAGAGATAATGTAGGTTACCGGAATTCTAGGCTGAAATAACCTAATCAGGCACCTGAAACAGTTCTTGACGTGGCTGTTGGGCCCCATCAACTGTCTTCGTCTTTGTCCTGGCCTCTGGGGCTAACGCGACCTAGGTCAGCAACATATCGAGAATATCGGACTGTATATCAGGTTGTTATAGTAGCTCTTTTTAGACTGTAATTTTTCTTTCTTCGTAAAAATGCCAGTAAAAACTACATGGATTCTTCAGGCGGCAGGTTTATTATCTCAAACATGTTGTTAGACGCCCTTAGCTTGGTTTTTTCCCTCCGATTGTCTCCAAACTGGCCCAGCGGTCTTTGTCCTCATCGCGTCATTGAATGCAGGGCTGCCTAGGCATGTGTTGACCACATCCCTGTCCGTTAGAAGAGTAACCAGGCAGTCTCATGTAAGCAGAGTCTTAATGAGCAGGTGAATCAACGACTCCGGTGGCCGATCCTGTCTTGCGTGTGATGGCGCATTTGGCTGTTGGTGATGTCACGGCTTCAGACAGGAGACCTACATGCTGGTAACAGTGGGGTTATTTTGGACAAACTATTTGAGATGGTTGCCTTGTACTGCCTTTCTTTTTTAAGTATATAATCCACGCATCACCTCCCTCGTTGAAATTCTGCTTCTGGCTTGCTACCAACCCAAGCACAGGAAGATCTGAAATCGTCTCTTGACTCTTCGATAACACCAACCAAAAGACCTCTTTTAATTCAAGACTAGCCGTAGTCTTGTTCGCTTATTGACCATGTCTTTCGACACGGGACCAGCGTCCTCCCGCACCAACGGACCCGGAACACAACACGGAGACAATCACCAGGATGGGGATGCTGAGCCCCTCATGAAACTAAGCGTCGATAACACAATCGGACAGTATTTTGCGGTGAAATCAGTGGATTTTCGTCGTCTTCAAAGAATTCAGGTACGTTGCGCTACTCGCTAAATGATACACGACCAGGTCATACTGACTGAGGTCGTGCTACACCAGGGCTGGGAAAACAGGACAAGACATCCCGATCCCAAGAAGGACGACTATACTTTCTACCAGCTGATGGGAACCATTGCGAAAGATCTTCATCGCGTTACCAAAGCATTCGACTTTTCCCAGATCCCGAACCAGCCTGCCATCTTGGACATGTGTTTTGCCCCAGGCGGGTTCGCCACCTTTGCATTGGAAGAATGCCCTGACGCTTGCATCAAAGCAATGACCTTGCCATTTGAGCAAGGCGGACGCGAAGTTCATTTGTCTCATAAAAACCTCGAGGTTGAAAGCCTTGACGTTACGATGCTTGCGGCAGACATGGGCATCACAAAGGACGACGTACCCAGGTCCCAGCCCGATAGCAACGCCTTCATTTTCCGCAAGACATTCTCAGCCAAAGATAACTTTGATCTGGCACTTTGTGGTGGCTACATTGCCCGATATCAGCCGCGTTCGCAGCTACGAGAACTTGTCGAAGTCTCCCGTCTGCAAATCTCCCAGCTCGCCTTAAGCCTCGAGCACCTAAAGCCCGGAGGTACCTTGGTTATTCTTCTCCACGATCTCGGGACATGGCGCACCATCAAGCTTCTTCATACCCTGGACAAGTTCTCCCACGTCGACCTCTACAAGCACGACAATATTTGCGCCGATTTATCCTCCTTTTACGGCGTTGCGAAGAACGTGCAGAGTGACGGGCCACTGGCTGCAAAGGCCGTCGCTGACTGGAAAGAAGAGTGGAAAATCCTCAGTCTGAATCCTCTAAATGAAAATGCCAAACCTAATGAGGGGTTCCTGGCAGACAATGAGGGCGTGCAGGAGGTGTTGAAAGAATTTGGAGAGAAAGTGGTCAGAATGGGGAGAAGAGTCTGGAAAACGCAGGAGAGAGCTCTGAGCAAGGCTCCTCCCAACGTATCCTCTCGAGGACGGGACAGCA